CTGGCTGCAATGTGTGTGTAGATGTCCTTCTCTTTCCCCATTCTCTTTGTAGGGGTAACTCTTATCTGAGCATCTATTTTGTAACACACTTTGCAAGTTTTTAATTAATGAGCTATTTTAGTGAATCTATGAAATAATTTCTGAGGTATTAAAAATTCTTAGAAACAGAATTTCACCAGAGGGGCCATTTTACATCAGCCGTCAGCTGAGCTGCCACCTTCCCACCCACCACGTGCTGTCCTACCTCCTCTTGTAACGAAACAGAAATTGATAGCACCACTAGGCTTTAAACTCCTACGCAAATCTCCACCAGGGGAGATGACTATGTGTACTTTGCCTCTGAACTTGACAGATATTTTCAAGATACACAGAAAAATGCGTTGGACAATATATTCAAAGTTCTTCTATTGATGGATATTTTCTGTAGTGTCTCTGATCGCTCTTTTAGATCTCTGCGGGCTCCAGGGAGCAGAGAACTGGTGGCCATCCCCTTTAGACCCCTCTTCAGAATGATGAAAGACACTTCCCACATAAACTAAACTCAGGTCTTTAAAGCTTTCCTCAGAGCTCTTGATTTTCAAGCCTATTATATTCTTGATTCATTCATCCAATGTCTCCCCATTATCTCTATCTTTCTTAAATGTGCCATCACCGACTGAGCAGCTGAGGTCTCTTTAGCACCAAGGAGAATGAGTAGCTCCCGTGTATCACTGTGAGAGCAAGACTGAGACTGGACTGGCTGATTGTAGCATTAGCATCACCAACTTCTAGTTTTTCCATGGTCCTTTCTGTGTCAGTTGAAAGGACGATTTTGCCTTTGTGCATCGGTTTTCTCTTTCCAATGAGGAGCCCGTTCCACCTGTCTTTATTGAATTTTGGCTTGCTGGTTTTTGACATTTATTCAGTTGATGAAGATCATTTTGAATTCTCATCATGTCCTCCAGAGAGCGCACAGATCTTGCCTCTCCTTCTGCCACTCTATCTGTACTGTTCCAGTTTCAGTGGCAAGGGCTGAGCATCTCATTACGGCACGGTCGCTGTGGCCAGTTGTTTAACACTCACACCATCTGTTAGTCCAAGATGCTGCATAACATGATAAACAATTAGCAAGGCAACTGATAATTCCTCTCTTTACAACCTTATTTTAACACTGCTTGTCTTCTACAGCTTACCTGTGCTGTCAGAAGTTCAGAGATGTGACTCAATGCCAGTGGTAGCAGCACTAGAAAATGTAATACAGATTTGTTTACTGCTCCACCCATCAACCTTATTTCAAACAGCACTTTCATGTCCAAGATCTAGGATCTATCCACCCTAATTTCTGCAAATGTTGTTAGAAATTAACAGACAAATCCTTAGCACAGTGAAGAAATTTCAGTCACTGTTTTTCTACCTTTTTCCTGCCAGTCATTTCACTTTCAAAAGGATAGAAATGAAAACTTTCCTACTTTGAAGAATATTTTACAGAGCTTTGATCAGATTTTGCTGCTTGCCTTGCTTGTTCAGACTGGGCTTTACTCCAGCTGAATGAAAGAAGTTTGCACTTCTTTGCATACACCAGTGAAACTGAAAAATGAATGTGGTCCCTCAAGATTTACTTTTATTTGCTTGGCTTTCAGAATGTGAATTTCTTAAATGAGCGATCTGTTGGCTATTATGCAGACTTAAGGAACCTAACACATGGTGTATATATGGTTTCCTAAGAATTACTATGGAACTATGTGCTTGCAACTATTAAGTGCTTTGCCTATGTCTACTCAACCAAGTACATGAGCAAACAATTTCATCTGATTTATACATACTGTATGTAACAGGGATGTTATTCAAAGGTTAAACGGAAAAAAAGGCTTCACTTTAGCTCTAACTAGTAATCTCATTACTTTCATTTGTACATGCTGCAGGTAAAGTGTTGTGTTAAAGTCTCAGTAAAACTAAGTGTTCACTTACTTTGATTATACTCTACACTTAACTAAACACAAAGCATTGACTTTGAAGAGATACAAATATCGATTATTTTCTTTTGTTAATTTGCTGAAAGTAAAAAGTTGCCTTTCAGCTGTCTGTAGACACCCCCACAAGAATACATTAAAGATTCTTGGGATTGTTACTTAATCAGTCCTTTATTTTCTGAAATAGTGCCCCCAAAAATTTCAAAGTGATGTTCATATTTCAGATTAATGAAATACTTCATTTACTTAGAAGTTTTGATAGGAAAGATGCCTCCCTTCCAATAAAGCCATTGTTAATATCAGCTGAATCACAACAGATTTATCTCTGCCTGTAATTTCAGTCAAGATCTGGATCTGGATGTAGAATTTTTAATCTGCCTTTTTCTCACTATTCCCACCTGGATTTAGATAGCTGATGTAGTCCACTTCTTAAACTTTTTATTTAACATCTTTCACCATCGCTGGTGAATACTCAATGCCTGCATCAAGAGGTTCATTATCTTTTGTCTCAATTATCTTTTTTTCTTCCTGAAATCATATTTGGCAGTCTTGTAGAAGTTTAGACCTAGATCTTGGGAAGTGAGCCAAGGACATTGCTGCTGGCATTTCTTTACAGTCAACTTTTGCAGAAGGAAATGATAAGCATGGTACTCAGATGGAAGGAGCTTTGATCATGGTCTGCAAACAGGAATTAAGGAGAAAGAGAGTCCTAAGAAACATGGCCCTCGTTCAGAATGGATGTGCATTAGTTGGTTGCAAATGGCTGCCAGGTGACAGCAAAATGTCCCAAAATGAAAACCTCGTAATTACTGACCCACCAAGGAGTAAGACAGGTGTGTATACTTGGTACAGTTTATGATGGCCACAAACTAGAAGGAAGTCAATTATGTTGTCAGCAGCGTCTCTGATTTCTTTCTCTGAAAGAAAAATACACTCCAGGCCCGTAAAACTAATTTGGAACTTCAGATCTCTAAAAGCTTTTCCCTCTGAAAGTGAGATAAATGTGAGGAGTATTCTGTAAGTACCCAGCTCTCAGAAATGAGCCTGGGGTGCAGAAATAGCTCTGCTGCTGTTCTGGGGAAATGATGCTGTGGCAACCATCTGTTATGCCAGAGGGTTAGCAAGGATGGGAAAAGAAGCTGAACCAGGCATTATTTAAAAGATGAAAAAAAAAAAAAAAACCAAAAACCAAAAAACAAACCATATCCCTTAAATTGCAAAGTATCCCAGGAAAAGTTTGGCTCTGGGTGCTTGTGTTCGTCCTTTAGACAGCACTACAGTCTAGATGAGAATGATGCCAAAGAAAAGATAGAAAACCTTCCTTTTGTTGCACAAAGTGGGGAGAGGTGGCAGCTAGCTGCATGGGTGAGGATCATTTTCCCCAGAGAAGAGCACACTGTGGAGGAGGAGTATGTCCATGCTCATTGGGTATTGCATGTAGAAAGACGGGTTCGAGGATTTATAATAATATCTGTGCTACAACAGCACTGAAATTCAGGGGAGGATCCTTTGTCAGAGCAGACTACACTGTGGGCTACCTGCTCCCGTCTTCACTGGGGTGGTACTTGGCCTGAAGACAGGCTGTGCCTCGGATAAACACCACCAATGCACGACACAGGCTCTCTCTCTGCAGTGGATCCCTCCGCTCTGTCCCTGCGACTGGCAGACGGTGATGGCAAGTGCTCGGGCCGCGTTGAACTCTATCACAACGGCAGCTGGGGAACGGTCTGCGATGACAACTGGGAGCTGGCGGATGCCGAGGTGGTGTGCAGGAGGCTGGGGTGCGGAGAAGCTCTGCTAGCTGTGTCTGAAGCCCAGTTTGGTCCAGGCTCTGGGAACATCCTCCTCGATGATGTACAGTGCAGAGGGGATGAAGACAACCTCTGGGAATGCTCCCACAGAGGGATCGCTGTCCATAACTGCCAACATAAAGAGGATGCCAGTGTCATTTGTGCAGGTACTCTAGCACATCTTTTGTAAACTATTGCTTTGTAAGCAATATAAGCTTGCCTGCAGCTAAGATTTTGAAGCACAATTTGTTTCTATCAGTGGAATTGTTTCAGGCATGAAACTAAGACCTATGAGAATTGCGGTGTTTTACCACATTTTTTCTTTTTGCTAACTCGTGCAGTTTATTCACACAGGTTTGTATTTTAATTTTTTATTTTAATTCTCAAACCCTTTGGCTACATAGAATATCATTGTCAGTCTTATCTGATACCATTTCCTACTCTATTACCTGACTGCTTTATACATTACTATTTGAATCATAATTTTACATCATCACTATTATATCTCAGTCCTCCTAGTCCTGATTTCCCATAAATTATGAACTATGACTAGTAAATCAAAATTCCTTTTCTTGTATTTAATAGGACATTATTTTTAGTAAATTCCTTTAGGATTTTTCTGAATCAATTCCCAGTTTTCCGGCAAATCTATACTCTAGAAACACGTGTGCAGTTGGAGAGCCCGAGTCACCGCAGCCTCTGCGTGGCCAGTGCCACGGCAAGTGGTGGTCCGTGGACAAAGCTCATCCACGTTGCAGGCACTCTATGAGCCTGACATGACTGAGGTGAAATGTAACTGGTTGAAAGGGGTTGTGGATGAGACCTGGCACAAAGAATGCTGGTTTGCAGCTTATCCTGGAGATATCATTCTCTGAGGAAAAATCAAAGTGAAATTTTAATAGAGTTGGGTTTTTTAGTGAAGACCTCAAGTGGAGTTAAACACGTGACCCAAGCAGACATGTGTCTTGTTGGTGAGTATGTCCCACGCCTAAAACAATTAAAGATTACACCTGTCACCTAACTGCAACCATTAACAGCTGACATTTAAAAAAAGGGTTTCAGCCTTCTCCTTTTTGGTGGTGATCCTGCCAGAGATGAATGGGTTGCTCTATATCACTACTGCTTTCTTTTTTTTTTTCCGCATAGTTACTGAAGAACTTTCTTAAGCATCCTCTATAGTAAAACTAGAAATTCACTCTTCTGTTTCCTTCCCTAGAGCCAGTTACTCTCCCGGTCACAATGGAGCCTGTTCCGGTTGGTGAGTTCTCCCTAGATGGGTCTTGCAAAGCTTTCACAGCTGATATATTTTATATAGCAACTCAAGCACTGGTAGGAAGGCAAAAATTTTATAGGTAAAAATTTCAAAGCAAGTAAATGCATGTAAGATGAGTTTCTGAGATACCTGAGGCTCATCTAAGAGTTTTGCTGTTAAAGAATACTGGTGTCAATAGGAATGGTTATGTTAGCTGCAGGCATATACATCAGAGCCTGAAAGAGAAAAAAGGACTTTGTGTTTACTCCCAGGTGTATATGGCACACTACGAGAGTAAGGATTTATGATAGCTGATTAACTGACACAATATGGCTTGTTACAGTAAGATTAATTTCATGGTTTTGCCACTTTCTCTGTGCAAGACAACAAATTTGGCTTTTGCTATTTGACAAATGCACCTGGAAAGCCCATTTCTGAGGTTGCTGAGTGCCCATGTGTTTCCCTCTGCTTTCCCAAGACATGTCCCTGAGACTGGTGAACGGAGGGGACGTGTGCTCAGGACGCCTCGAAGTCTTTCACAATGGGAGCTGGGCAACTGTCTGTGACGATGGCTGGGACATGAAGGACGCCATGGTTGTGTGCAGGCAGCTTGGCTGTGGAGGTGCTCTCTCGGCCAAAATCGATGCGTTTTTTGGGGAAGGCACGGGAGATATTCTCTTGGACAACGTGGCATGCAGCGGGGACGAGTCCTCCCTGGAGCAGTGCTCTCACAGGGGACTGGGCACACACGACTGCTACCACAAGGAAGATGCTGGTGTTATCTGTGAAGGTACTCACCTTTTCCATTTTATTTAATGTGAATTAAGCGTCCTAAGCTGTGCATCCAAGCCAGTATGGGTGAGAGGAGGATCTTGCTGCAAGGCTGGAGCCACTATGGGAATGGAGACCCTTGGCAGAAGCCATGCAGGGAGAGGGGAGGCTGACGAGAGCCAAGAAGAATGGCCAGGGGCACCTTGGTCATGGGTGGGACCAGCCTCCCTGGGCTCCATACATCATGAGGCCATCTTGTACTTCCAAACAGGGATTCCTCTACCTGGGTCTGGGGGAAGCAGAGAGGGAAAAGCAGGTCTATAGGCATTTTCTTCCAGAGAGGACCACCAGGAGGTTTTGGCAGACCAACCTGGAATCTATTTTTGGGACAAAGACTATTTGCCTAAGAGCCTCAAAGTACTTGTGTCAGACTTGCAGTTTTATAAACATATTTTCTTCTCTTTATGAATTTGTACTCATTTTCAAAGATCTGCATTATATTTATGTGAAGTTTATTGAGGAAAATGAAGAAAATTCCTGCCAGCTGAGGATGCAGAAGGAAATTGTTTTGATGGAGGTTCTGGCACTAGATGAACGTGGTGTGTCTGATCCTAGACATCAGTGTAGGCTGGCAGGCCACTGCATGTTTGTGGGCTCAGCTGTTTCTGTCCAAGTGAGATCCTATAAGGAAGTGATACTCATGCTGTGCTGTCATATTGTTTTATAATGATATAATGTATAACAATAGCTGTGAGATATACATATTCTCGAAAATGTGAATAGGGCTCCTACTACCCCATCTAAAGAGGCCCACATTTTCACTTTGATTTTATTTTTGTTATTTCTTCTCCTCTCCCCTTTTTCTAATACGACGCATTGTTCTTAGTTGATGGTTACTGTCAAATAATGACGATGAATATTTGAAAAAACGATCATAACAAATCTTTGATGTGCTGTACATAAACTGCAAGTCCCAGGGGAAGTATTTAAGGAGAAATCATGTCCAGACTATCCATCAGCCTGCATTCCTAATTCACTCAGTCCTGCTCAATCCACCAAAGTCCACACACTGCAAACCATTTCTCCTCCAATGTACCAAGGGGCTGTATTGCAGCACGAGCCATACTTGCTTAAACATTTTAGTAATTTACAGAACAAAATGTTTGTTGCCCAACTAACCTTCCCAAGCTGCATATAATTTATTTAATTTAAAAAGAAGTTCCGGATGGCTCATCTTCCAGGCTTGGGCAGATCTTGAAGTGGTGGAGCTCCTTCACTGCAAACAGTAATGCATACTGGATTTCAGCCTGGGTGACGAGGCAGGACAGAAATTATATCTGTCCCCACCAGGTTTGCTTCTCTGCCCCGCTACCGACAGATGTACTCATTGCATGGTGTGGCAGTGAAAATGGCATGGCAGAAACACCAATGGCCAGGTAGAAACACCTGCAGCCTTCTCCAAGGCTTCAGAAAGCATTGCTTCAGTCACAGTTTTGAGGACAGCCCTGACTGTATTGCTGCTTGTCTCACCTTGATCTGGCTTTCCTTCTTTTGATGGTTTTTATTTTCTCTCCCAACAGTCCCTCTGGAGCTTAGCACACCTAAAGCAACAGGTATGGAGTACTTCAGTGTTTGTTTATTTATCTCAGGTTTAGTCAAATACAACTTATCCCACAGCAGAGTGCTGATTCCCCTGGACTTTAGCAGCACTGAGCCGAAATTTGTGCTCTCATCATTAGCCCTGAAGAATTCATGGCGCTCAGGTGAACACGAGCTCCTGGTGGGATCTGTGGACAGAGGTGTCCTGCCGCACCGAGATTTTTTGCCTTTATGGAGATGCACACAACCATAAACATGGTTTCCATCCATCCTCAAGGGTGGTGGAAATACCACAAGCTGGTTTACACAAATGCCAAATTATGGGCTACATTGCTGTCATGTAGTTGGATTGGAGATCTCATCATGCCAGGCCTAATTACAACTAAGTGATAACGTTGCTTTGCTTTGTCAATCCATTCTTTGCTCTCTTGGTATTGGAAAAATTACTAAAGTGTGGCTTTTACTTTCTCTTTGACAGTCCCGACTGAGTCCACAACAACTGAAACATCAGGTATTTATTTCTGGTCATTTATTGAAACATGGTGAGCAGAGGTACTGTCAGACCATGACGGAGAGCAGGATCCCCAGCTTGACTAAGTCAAGAAATTAACTGTCAGGCTCTCACATTTTCAGTCTTAATTCAGGATTTAGCAGACGATCTACCTTCCTGGCAAGGCAACGCTGCCTGCCGGAGCTGTGTCCTGTCCAGCTGCGTTATTTGTTTCCCTGCCCAAGCTCAGGGTCTCGCTGCAGGGTCTTGCAGAGGTGACGTACACCATCACACTCGCTGTGTCACCACAGCATGTGTGTTCACAGCCGTACGCAGCGAAACTCGGGCTACGTTCAGCTGTGCAGCCACGTGCTTCCCGGTGATATTCCCATGGCGTCATGCGATATTGAAAGCAGCCGAGGCTGCTGCTATGGGTCTCGGGCCAAAAATATACATTTAAAATGCAGACAATATTTAATTTCATCTTTTCTTTCTCACAGTAACAGTCTCTTCTACTCCTGAACCAACACATGCTGCCACTTGTAAGTAGTACAGTGTTACTCTGGCTTACATGCTTAGTTGTCTGCCCAAGTTCTGATCATGTATTGACTGGCTCCCTGTCTCCACTGTGTGTATAATCTCATGGATTTAACCATTAGCTTCAGGGATAATCCCAATCACCTCTCCCTTGGCTCCCATACAGCATAAAGGAGGGAAAGGGGCTTGGTATCAGTACAGGAGAAACACTTGCACTGATGAAAGCACTACAGAAGGGGAGTCTGCTGGGGCAGGCACACTACACCAATATAAATTCAGATTTGCACTCGATCATCCCAGTCCAAGAAAGCCAGCCTTCCTGCACTTCCCAAAGCTGCATCCCCATCACTGCACAAACCGGGCCGTGCTTCCCATGGGAACGGCCAGGCTGAACGCTCGCCGAGGTGCCAGCATGGACCTCACCATCGTCGGTGCAGTGTACGGCACTGCTATGGGCACTGCATATTAGAAACAGAATTTTATCTCATTATCCCCCAGCACCCAAACTGTTGTTTAGAAAACATCCCACAGGTTTCCAGAGCCTTTCACACAGCAGGTCAGAAGCCTGTTGAAGGATATGGCAAGGGGATCTGTTCTCCTCCCACTGAGGCTGCTCACGCTCCGGGCAGGCTTTGCTAACGCCTGCCCTGGGCAGCGGCAGCATCTTCCAGGTGCTGTGGCTGATGGCCACTCGAGTGAGACCTGCAGGTCTCCTGTGGTGGGCTGACCCAGGCTGGAGGCCAGGTGCCCTCCAAAGCAGCTCTGTCACTGCTCTCCTCAGCTGGGAAGGGGAGAGAAAATACAACGAAAGGTTCCTGGGTCGAGATAAGCACAGAGAGAGATCACTCACCAATTACTGTCATGGGTAAAACAGACTCGACTTGGGGAAAAATAAATTTATTACCAATCAAATCAGAGTAGGATAATGAGAAAATAAAAATTAAATCTTAAAACACCTTCCCCCCACTCCCTTCTTCCCAGGCTCAACTTCACTCCTGAGTTCCCTCCCTCCTCCCTGCCAGAGGCACAGGAGGACGGGGAATGGGGGTTGGGGTCAGTTTTTTTTCCCCCTTCTTAACTCTGTTCTCCCAGAGGCACTACCCCCGTCACTGATGGGCTGGGCCTTGGCCAGTGGCATTGGCTCCATCGGACATAGAATCATTATGGTTGGAAGAGACCTCAAAGATCATCAAGTCCAACTGTATACCCCACGCCACCATGCCTGCTAAACCTACTAAACCATGTCTCAAAGTGCCACATCTAAACGTTTTTTGAACTCCTCCAGGGATGGTGAGTCCATCACCTCCCTGGGAGCCCGGTCCAATGCCTAACGACTCTTACAGAGAAGAAGTTCTTCCTAATATCCAAGGGGAATAATATCCATGGGGGAAGCTTCTGGCAGCTTCTCACAGAAGCCACCCCTGTAGCCTCCCCGCTACCAAAACCTGGCCAAGCAAACCCACTGCACTCGTGCCTACCCAGTGCTGGGACTGCAGCTAACCTGCAGTTTTGTTTTTTCTCAGGTGTCGGATCAGCCCCTGCAGACCACACGACACCTGAAACAGCAGGTATGTACGAGTATAGGTTTGGAAGGACTGGTGTAATGCTTGATCCTGGGAGTAAACTGGTTCTCTCCCCATTAACCGCACTTGCTTTGCTCACACCATAAGGTAACAGTTACTGAAGCGTGGCCTTTACTTTCTCTTTGACAGTCCCGACTGAGTCCACAACGACTGAAAACCCAGGTATTTATTTTTGGTCATTTATTGAACCGTGGTGAGCAGTTTACTACTTTTCATGTGAGTTATCAATGTGTTTAAAGTGTGGGCAGTTTAATTTCATATTTTCTCTTCTCACAGTAACAAACTCAGCCACTCTATCAGTCTCTCCAACTACTGAAGCCGCAGCCACTACCACTTGTAAGTAATGCAGCATTACTCCGGTTTACATCCTTAGTTCTCTATCAAAGTTGTGATCTGATGTGTTGGCACGGCTCCCTGTCTCCACAGTGTGCGTAATCTAGCATTCACCTTTGCAGATAATTCTTTTGGCTTGCACACTAATAAAGGGATGGAAAATGCTGTTGGCATTGTCATGGGAGAAATAACTGCACTGATTAAAGTACTAGGGAAGGGGAAACCACTGGGGCAGACACACTACACCAATACAAAGTCAGATTTGCTCTAGATCATCTCACTCCTAGAAAGTCAGCCTCCCTGCACTTTCAAAGTTGCATCCCCACTGGAAGTTGAGTCAGTGGAAATCTTCCTGACATAAGCAGTGGTATTTGGTTTAAACCTTAGTTTTCTACAACAGGATTTATCTTTTGGAAAATTTGAATTGCAAGTTCTGCTCATTAATTTAAAATATTCTGCCTCAGATGCTTAGATAGCAGACTAAGGTTTTCTTTTAAAGTCTGGCCCTATCAGCTACACATTCGTAAAGGGCACTCGGCTGCCTCAGTAAAACCTACAGACTTGTGTTGACAACATGCAGGAAACTGCACATCAGATGCAAAGCATCCATTTGAGCATGGGACTGCATGGCTACACAAAGGAATAAACAGAATTAAATCTTGTTCCCATGAACAATAGCAATATGTCATCTTTAGTATTCAAGCCTCTACATTTTTCTTAATATGAGCCCTTTGTCCACGGCAACTCTATTCCTTAGATCCGTTGCTACTAACATTTCCTAGTCTTAATGCATTCAGCTGATTACAATGTATATTAATTGACTACATAAAAGCACACATTTTCCTCATTCAGTCCACTTATTTTCCTTTTTTTTTTTCACTAAAAGCCCGTCCAAAAAGAGACCCAGCACCTATAAGAGACCCAGTACCTATAAGCCCAGGTAAGGTGTTCTCATTCTTACTTATTTTTGATGACTTCTCTTCCTAAGGGCAGTATATACTGGGTAAGAGGCGTGAGCTGGGAAAGCCTGGCAGATGAATGGCAGAGGGTATCTGAGTGGGGAGGAAAGGGGGAAGCAGGAGAGGCAGGGAGGAGGCAGAGAGTTTGGGGGTGCCACAGCTTACCGAGGGACTGCACACCACTGGTACAAGGGCTGGCAGCCAAACCATCCTTGGTGGTAAGCATCAAGAGGATGAGCTAACCTATGTCTGCACCATTTATGGAAAAACCACATTTAAAACATCCGTCCATAGCCTGCCAGGCTGCTGGCCAGTCAGTGCCCCTGTGCTCTGGAGGGCTCGCAGGCAAAGAAACAGCTCATTCTCACCTCTTCCCACGAGAGAAAGGATGGATAACGCTCACTTCTGTAACCTCGGGGTTAGCTGTAGGAGGGAGTAACGAGCTTTTAATGGCACACCATCAAAGAAAGAGAAATTAATTTCCTCTCCACTTAGCTACTATTTCCAAGTACAGCAGCAAGGCCCACATTTGCATTTGCAAAGCATACTAGTATTTAATACATGCTGCATTTTACTCTGTGCTTACATATGGTTTATTAACATTAAATTTCTTCTTCTCCAGCAAATCTTACTTATCTACCTAAGTACATGCGGGTGATGTTACTAAGATTCTTAACTGGCCTGTGCCGACCAAGGAGACCTGGGATGCAAAGTATAAAATTACAAGGGTAAATATTTATTCATGTGCATGAGGTGTCCCAGCCAAACTGGGGCACCCCGAACGTGGCTTTACACTGGGTTCTTACACCCTTTAAAGTTCAGTTACAACACGATCTGACTAATCACTCATGCCCACACTACCAATCACTAATCATAGTAAAACTTTGCAAAACCATCTGTGTCCAGGAGTTCTGTGCTGTGAATTGTGACTAACATCTCAGTTAGAAATTTCTGAAGGAAAGTTTGTTGTAACCAATGAAACAAGCGGGCTTAGTGACCATGTCACAATTTTTGTATGACAATTACATGTGGTTTTTTTCTTTTTGTTTTTTCTCAGGTGTGTAAGGGACCCAACCTGTAGGAGCTACTATTCACCAGGCATGAGGATTGTCCAGTTCAAGTTCAGGGGTCCCATATACCCAAGAGTTTGCCTGCGGTGCAAAATATTAGCGTGCAACGGATACAATTATTCTTCCCAACGCTACCAAGGCTATATGACAAGAGGCAAAAGAAGCACAAGTGACGATGTCATTATTATTATTGTCCCCAAGTAATAACAGCCTCAATAATGCTGCTTCTAACCATTACATTGATCTTTTAAATATGTGATCAGTGTGTTGCACATCTGCTACTAATTTCTAAAAATACATTATACTAGGAGGTGTAAATCTAAAGGTATTTTGGTCTTAACCGCAGTTGCGTTCCTTAATTTCAGATCTTTTGGATCTATATTCCAGATTTGTAAAACCCTCAACTTCAGTAAATGCTCTCAGTGACAAAGAGTAATTGGATCAGCTGGCTGATTTTTCTCACCAAGACTTTGTTTCCCTCTCACAGTTCTTCCAGTTCTCCCGATTGTACCAAACAGCTCAAATACTGAGCGTTTAAGGAAGTTTAACCTGCCTTACAGATGCACATGTCACAGTGCTGCTTTCTGAGCTCAGGAAGAGACATAAATCAAAGGATAAGCATCCCTTGTAACCAGTAATGTCTGAGCAATTACCTTACTTAGAAACTCCAAATATTTGGAAAAGATATTGCTCATGTACTGAGATATAATCTTTGCAATACCTAGAAGCTATTATAATCTTTCCATATGCCAGGTTTTATTACTAGAGATTAGAACTATAAAAAATCATACATCTAAATTTACTTCATTATAAGCATTTGCTTTATCCTTTTTCTTTCAATATCTGTTCAAATTATATTACTTTGAGCCAATAAAGTGTTTCTGCACTTTAATGTTAAATTCTCCTACTTGGAATGACTTAGCGAAAAAAAAATGGGAATTAATCATTTTCAGTTCGTAATAGCAAAAAATATCTTGTCGATTGCAGAATTGTACAGGAGTACAGCAGTCATCTTTTAGATGGATAAAATTTTGATAAGCTGGTGAATTTGGCCTGACTGTGAAAAGCACCTTTAAGGCCAATACTCAGCTTCCATGTGGCGAGAATGTGCAGACTACTCAAACTCATAATGTGATGCCCTGTAGTGAGTAAGGATGCCTAGTGCCTAGTGGCTGTGCCACACAAGACAAAAAAAAAAAAATCCACTTTTTCCAGCAACTTTACCTTTTATGCTTCATCCTCTCGAAAAAGAGACTAGTCTCATTCTGAAACTCAGCTTCTCCGTGAATAACTTGGCCAGCTCTCAAATGCCAAAATCACACAGGTCTCCAACGAAGGCTCCAGATCTAATCTCTTACCTGGCAGTTAAACCTTGGCATGGGCTGAGCAGGCTCACTGCCAAAGACCCTATCCTGCAGGACTGTAATGTCCATCCTGAGCCAGAGTATTTCCTAATCATACTTAGTTCATACAAAACTCCATCATGCTCTTTACCCTGCTGCTCTGCTTCTCACAGGTAATGATTTAAAGTGCTTGAAATCACATTTTCCCTGCTGTTACACTCCCGGGTGCAGGCAGTGAGAGAAAGTGCCTGTAAATAACAGTCTCACAACAGCCGAATCCTTGTTCTTTTGTACTAAAAATCAGGCTAATTTGTTCTGAGGATCT